ATGGTAAAGTTTTTGCGGAGGGATGTTTGAGTTAGCTTTGCGAGCAAGATGAAACTGAGGGCTCCACCAAACCCTGGATTTTTTTGGACTGGTCAACTTTGTGGCACAATTAATGAGGTGTTTGTGACATTTTTAAAATGCTAAAGTTTCAAGGGCACATCAAAGACCATTCAAAACGAGCTAGGAGTGTATGCAGCCGTCATGGGGAAATATTGTGGGGGAGGTAAGGTCGGCGAACTTCGTAGCTATCAAGCTGCAACCACGGACTTTTCTACACAGAACACCTGGTGGTTGTGCTGAGGTCCATGATAGCAAGAAGATTAAAAAATTTCCGGGGCTTTTTCAACAAAATCATGCCCCAACGCGACATTCTGTACCAAAGCTACAGAAAAAGGGGACATCGAATGCTTCTCATCAACGGGGCCCTCGACGCTTCACAACATTGTGCAGCCAAGGTAGATTAAACAATATAATTCGATCTTTCCAAACAGAGCTTATTTGAAAATATGCATGAAAGGAGACATCATCATTTTTACAAAATCTATACAATTGCCAGAATATGGTTTCATTTTGTAAAGCCATACAGATAGCTGTGTTTTATCACCTTTTCTAAAAAATTATTTTCAAATTATGTTTTCAGGCAAAATGCTATCACTGTTCATTTTCACAAAATCTATACAAGGGCAGAATATGGAAGTCTATAAAAATGTCTTATTACCAATAACTTGCATCAATGTTTCAGTAGCCTCTATCAAAAGCTCCTGCTTCCCTTGTTGTGAATTATGCTCATGTCACATATTTCCAATTCAACCATGAGGCCTTTTTGAAGCAGTATGTGTATATCAGTATTGACTTATATGCTCCCGTCTTCATGTTGTTGCTGACATATCTTTTTTTAAATGTGTGTAGGTCACCTAAATCATCAGAAAAATTGCCCCCCCTGAGAATTTTTCAGGAGCCGCCACTGTTCCTAGATATGGCTACTATTGTGTGGATCACTACATCCGATGGATTTGGATACTTAAAAGCAAATTTCTTCTTCTGCAGCATTAATAAAGATGTGATCAATACATGTTAATGATTTCATTCCTGTGCTGTTTGTAAGTACCCCTGGTAGGTTGACTGATACTTGAACCAGGTTGCAGGCACTAGTTACAGTTTGAAGCTTTCTCTTCAGTGGGCAGCCTGATGAAAGCCAGTCAATATTTATATCACCCCAGAAAATATACCTCTCTATTGATATCACATACATTATCAAGCATTTCACACATGTTATCCAGATACTGACTGTTAGCACTTGGTGGTCTATAGCAGCTTCTATAGCAGCTTCCCACCAGTGTCAGAGATGCTGTAGGTGGGTGTGGTGGTGGAATCAGGCGCAGGACACAGAAGTACCGTCCAAAAGACTTTAGTGAAATATCCAACAATGAAATAAATGAACAAACTAGCCAGAAGGCGAAACTTCCGCACGCAGGCGACAAACAAGAACGGGCGCACTACTCAGGTGCGAAAAACGCTCCAACACAGTGGAGGAAATAGCTCAACCGAGCAATACATAAATACATCCAGCAATCGCACGACAAAGAAAGCAATCACACACAACAATGAACAAACACAACGAGAACTTATAGGACACTAATTACACTAAACGAAAACAGGTGTAACAACAATCAGACAAAGTAAACGAACATAGAAACATATAACGGTAGCAGCTAGTATTCCGGAGACGACGAACGCCGAAGCCTGCCCGAGCAAGGAAGAGAGGCAGCCTCGGCCGAAACCGTGACATTACCCCCCCCCCCCTTGACGCGCGGCTCCAGACGTGCGCCGACTCCGGCCTCGGGGACGACCAGGAGGACGCGGAGCAGGGCGCGTCGGGTGCCCACGATGGAATTCCGTCAGGAGAGACGGGTCTAAAATGTGTCAGCTTCCTGCTTCTCCTGTTTGTCTCCTGGCCTCTAGAGGTCAGCTGTGTTCCCCTCTGCCTTTGTTCTTCCTCATGTGTCCTCATTAGTTTGATCCAGGTCACCTGTGCCTTGTTTTCCCTTTAGTATTTTAGCTGTGTGTTTTCCCCTTGTTTCTCACTTGGTTATTGCGTCCTGACTATGTGTCTCCTGCTTTGTCCCACCGTGTCAGTCCTAGTAAGTTGTTCGAAGTTATCTTTAGTTTGTTTTTCTCCCCTCGTGGAGTTGTTTTGTTTTGCCTCCTGTTTTGGAACATTAAATCTACTTGCCTGGAGTATTGCCTTGGGTGTTTCATTTGGGTCCTACAACATCTCCTCTGTGGCTAAGGGGTAGTACCCCCAGCTCTACACATCTGAGACCGGAGTTCTAGCCCGGCTTGTGACAGAATAACCAAGTCAATCATGGACCCAGAAACACTCAGTTCCCAGGACCTGTTGGCGGTGATCACTCGACATGAGGCTTCTTTCCAGCGCCATGAAGCCGTTCTCAGCCGACAAGAGGAGCTGATGGCTAGTCATTCTCAACTCTTGGCCAAAATGATGAGTGCCCTTCGCCAGCTCTTTGAACGCCTCCCTGGTCCTCTCCCTTCCCCCAGGTCACCCCCCAGTGACGACAGGCCTTCTCGGTTGGCGGAGCCCCGACTACCACCTCCCAAGCCCTTTTCTGGGGATCCAAGCTCTTGCCAGGGTTTCCTCACCCAATGCTCCCTCACCTTCGAGCTCCAACCCTCAAGTTTTCCCACAGACCGTTCCAAGATTGCCTACATCATTACCCTTCTTTCAGAAAAGGCGCTCGCCTGGGCTTCTGCGGTGTGGCAGTCCCAGGAGGCCTGTTGTGACTCCCACGCTGCATTTGTAGAAGAGTTCAAGCGGGTGTTCGATCATCCTGTCAGTGGGCGGGAGGCTTCCAAGCGCCTACTGTCTCTCCGTCAGGGCCCCCGAAGCACGGCAGATTTTGCCATTGATTTCCGGACCATAGCAGCAAGGAGCGGATGGAATGATGAAGCGCTGAGGGGTCTGCTTTCAGGGAGGGTTATCTGAGCCCCTTCAAGATGAGTTAGCCACCCGAGAACCAGCTGGAGATCTCGAGTCCCTCATAGCCTTGGCCATCCGCCTGGACAATCGTCTAAGAGAGCGGAGAACGGCTCGCCGTCAGGTGTCTCAGTCCCAAGTTCCTCTGAGCAGCTCTGTTTCTCCTGTTTGGACTCCGTCATTCAGAGCTGCCCCGGCTCCTGAACTGCCCCAGGATTCCCCGGAGAGCATGCAGTTAGGCCGTTCCAGGCTTTCTCCCAACGAAAGGGAACGTCGCATGAGGGAGCGTCGGTGCCTCTACTGCGGGGTTGCCGGCCACTTCCGCTCCACT